TCTAGGGGCGCTGTGGGTCAGAATGGACTCCAGGCAGTGGGTGTGGTTTAGGCTTTGCTTCTGTGAAGACTGACAGCCTTGGAGACCCTGTGGGCAGTTTCACTCTGTCCTCTAGGGGCGCTGTGGGTCAGAATGGACTCCAGGCAGTGGGTGTGGTTTAGGCTTTGCTTCTGTGAAGACTGACAGCCTTGGAGACCCTGTGGGGCAGTTCCACTCTGTCCAGTGGGTTCGCCATGAGTGGAAATCGACTCAGTGGCACCCAACAGCTATGAGAGGCCCACATTTGCAGAGACTTGGGTGAGGACTCGGCCCTCCTGGCCTTGGCTTGTTGGCCTTGGCTTTTGTCTGTTGGTTTATGATGCAAAGCGGTCTCGCTAAGGTAGCTCTTTAGTGCCTTAGAGTAGACGCTCGCTGCCACCCTGAGTGGTGAAGTTGACTGGCAGGCTGTCTTTGGGGTCACTGAAGCCCGTGCTTTTGGAGTCTGAGGGGACCAGTGTTTGGCTGTGGTTATGCTCAAGTGACACTTGCCGACTGTGGTCTGTGTCCGCTTGGGCCCACAGGTCTCAGGGCGAGATGTCCTACATTGTGGTACAGAGTTACATGAGGCTCTCAGAGAATGACGTCCCGTTCAGCTGGAGAATCAAGGACTACCTAGAGGAGCTGTGGGTCCAGGCGCAGTACATCCCAGGTGCCGAAGGTGAGGCACCTGGAGACAGGTGACGGGTGGACTGGTCTCACTCCCCGGGAGGCGGGCGAGTAATAAAGCAGCACAGGCTGCAGCAGCTGCTGGATCGGGAGGGTGGTTGGCGTTTCTGGTTTGACGTTTTCCGGGTGGGACAGCCTCACGTGATGGGATTTCTGAGCCCCAACTTCCTGCTGAGGTAAGGACCGTCTCCAGCAGGGGTCAGAAGCCTTGAAGGCACACAGCCAAGGGGTCCTGTGAGATGTGTTTAGTCACACGGCCAGGGCGGTGGTGAAATGGGACAGCTTCCCCTGTCATCAGTTGACCGTTCCTGGCGTGAGGCTCGGGACAGTGGGAGTGGTGAGGTTTAGGAGGGGTACCCAGTCGAGCCTTTCCTAGCATCTTCTTCCTGCAAACGGGGCTGTCTGCACTACTCCCGACGGACGTGCATACACCTGGCACTCTGCCTGGCTGTCCAATGCCCCAGGGTCTGGTAGTCACGTGAAGGAAGCCCGTGGTAATTCACTGTTTGGAGAAGTCCCCCTTCCTGTGTACAGACGACGTGCGGGTTGGGCCACTCAAAGACGGGATGCCTCCAAACCACGTGAAGTGGTTCTTCCCAAGGAGGGTGCATCTCGTCAGGCCTGCCCACCCGCAGCCCTCCTTTGCCGTAACAGCCAGTGCCCATCCGCAGAAGGCACACACTTCTCCATGGCTTTCCATGTACAACCCCGGCCCCACACCTCCTGGATCCTTGGTTCTTAGTTCGCTCTGGGACGTAATAGCGTGCGACAGGAACTTGGTCCCTTTCAGATAGCTTTCTTGGGGGGCTAGCTGGGCTCATGGCTTCAATTCAGCCCTGACCTCGCCTGGTTCCGTCGCTCCACTGGGAAGTGTCTGCCCGATCTGGGAAATGGGCGTCCTTTGGTTCTCCCTGAAGTCAGGCAGCTCACCCCTCCTCTGAGCTACCGTCACTCCTCGTGCCACCTCCACAGCCCGGCTCGCAGGTCTCCACTCCTTGGCCAACGCAGCTGAGCCGTTCCACTCTTGGTGGAGCTGCGACGGAGACTGCCTGAGCCGTGTGCTTTCCCGTCCACAGGGCCGTCAGGGAAGCTGGTGAAAATCTTCCAGCAGACGCCTCTGGGCAGCTTCATTGCTGGGCTCAGCAGAGAGCAGCAGCAGTCACTGCTTCACAGCTACTTAAAGGACTTTCTGCTCTTGACCATGAGCGTGTCCTCCTGGGAAGAATTAAAGGTAACCACGAGGCCCGGGTGGAGCACGTGTCCCGTGGACTGCATGCAGACACAGGGAACGTCTTTTTTAACATGAAAGCATGTTCCAGAGGCTTTCTGTTACCCAGTTTCTACAGATGGCTCTGTGGTCCTGCGTCGGCCAGCTGAAAGCGGCAGAGGGAAGGCCGGAGGACGGGGTGGCCCTGCCGTGGGTGCACCTGGCCTATCAGCGCTTCAGGAGCCGGCTGCAGAACTTCTCCAGGGTCCTGGCCGTCCATCCCCAGGCTCTGGACAGCCTGAGGAAAGCGACACAGAGCCACGGCCTGACTGAGAGTGAGATGGTAAGGCTGCTCGGGCCCACCCGGGCTTGGCCCGCCCAGAGAGCGAGGGTCCTTCCGAGCTCACCGGCAGTTGTCAGTTGCTGCGGAGTTGATGTGTAGACTCGAGCCAAGCTCCACTGTGTTCTCAAGGCCTTGTGGCCTCCCAGGAACAGCTCACCAGGCCTCACTCTCATGCCACATCCAGGCAGAAGGTTGAACCATGAACCCTTTGGTTAGTGGTCTAGCACTTAACCCTTTATGCCACCCAGAGATCAGCTTATATGGCCAGATCCCAAACGGGAGCCTCCCTCACAAGACGTAGATGTCAGTCTTATTCAGGGATGTTAACACCACACGCCGACCAACACGCCCCGTGTCCCATCACATGCCGACCAATGTACCCTGTGTCCAAGACAGTGAATAAGGAGATGCTGCACATGGGGCTGAGAACCCCCTGGGCTGACAGTGGCCTTTGGCCTCAGAATGTCTAGGGGGGAGAGCAGCTGCTCAGACATCACCTATTCTCCGTGCACCTCTGTAGACACTGGATGCACTGGCAGCCATGGCCTGCGTTGAAATGCTGACAAGAGACACCCTGCAGCCAAGCCCTCAGGCGTGGTTACGGATGGTGAAGAACCTGTCCACTCCGCTGGAGTTCCTGTGTTCCAAGGCGCACATGCAGGACAGCGGGGACACGACCAGGGTGCTCGTCAGGGAGCTCAGGTGAGGCCCAGGCGCGGGCACCCCCGTGCGAGGGACGCTCAGCACGGGCCGAGGGGAGAGTGGGCCGGGGCTTCTGGGCCAGGGGCCTCCCCCCTCCCCCTGCACTTCCCTGGGTTCCACTTCGTCAGGCTGGCCCCTCTCCCGGGGGTCTCAGGTTCTGGCCTCTCCCAACAGGACCCAGTGGAATCGGATTTTTTCCGTCGCTCTCTTTGTGGAGCATGTGCTTCTGGGAACCGCGAGTCAAATCCCTGAGCTCCTCGGCCTGGTGACTGAACACACGGCCTCCCTCAACAAGGTGAGCACCGTGGCCGGTCTCCACAGTGAGGGCTGCACGGCTTTGCCTCTTTTCAGAAGGAGAGGTGAGGAAACGTAAGGTGACCTCTGACTGTAGGCTTGCTCTCAGCTTGCCGCCCAGGGTAGCTGGAAGCGTGAGGCAGCCTGATCCCAGCACCGTTCCATTCTACATATTTAACCACGTGCCCTTTCTGGTTGCCAATCACAGTCCTCCATTTAGAGTTCAAGGGTTTATTTGCAGGAGCACAGTCCCCTCTAGTAACTCTATGCAGGAAAGGGGTTCCTGCTGGTGGTCGGATGCTTGCAAAGCCATTGAAATGGAGGGACTCCTGGAACTGTCACCAGAACCATGGTCAGGAAGATGGAGGCCAGTCAGGGAGTAGGAAGACAGTGCTGTGCGTGGAACCAAGGGAACAGGATGCCACCGAGCCTCTGCTCCCCACCATCCTTGTAAAGTTGTGATGGGACAGGACAGTCCCCTGCAGAAAAGCCACATCTCTGTAAGCACACTTCCCAGCAGTGACCGTCCTCAGCAAGAGGTGGGGCCCTCCTTGCCCACAACCTGTGAACTTCACAGGAGGGAGCCAGCTGCTGCTGGGTTCATCTCTGTTTCAGTCCAGACAAGGGTGAAACAGGAGGGGAAAATTACAGACAAAGGCAAAAATCGTCATGAGTGAAGTATTAAATCAAGTTTAGCAGGGTGTTAAACACACGCAGACACACGCACCATCATTTACACAACAAACTGGAAGATAACTGTGTTCCTTTGCAAAGGTGCAGAGAAAGCATTCAATAAAATTCATGGTTTGAAAAATAAGATCCTACTAGGTTTGAAAAGTAAGATCCTACTGGCGATGAGGAGTAGAAGGGACCGTTCCTGAAGCTGATAGGCTGAGGGTAGACATGATACAGAAGCATCAGTCGCCACCATCACGTCTAACCACAAAATTCCACCTACCAACTATGTCAAGAAAGCACACGTTGTATTGCACTGGGCAGATCTGCTTCAAAAGACCTCTGTAAAGTGCTGAAGAGCAAAGATGTCACTTTGAAGACTAAGGTGCTCCCGACGTAAGCCGTGGTGGTTTCAGTAGCTTCACATGCATGTGGGAGCTGGACAGTGAATCAGGAAGACCGAGGAAGCAGTGACGCCTTTGAATTATGGCGTTGGAGAAGAGTACCGAAAGGCCCGTGGACTGCCAGGGGAGCCAGCGGGTCTGTCCTGGAGGAAGTGCAGCCGGAATGCTCCTTGGAAGCAAGAATGGCCAGACTTCGTCTCACCTACTTTGGTCACGTTGTCAGAGGGGACCATGCCCTGGAGAAGGATACCATGCTTGGTAAGGTGGAGGGTCAACAAAGAAGGGGCAGGCCCTCACCGAGATGGACTAATACAGTGGCTGCCATGATGGGCTCAGGTATAGCAAGGATTGTGAGGACCGGGCGGTGTTTCATTCTGCTAGACACGGGGTCACTGCGAGTCAGCACCGACTCCACGGCACCTGACAACAACCACCCCAGTAAGCAGTGTGACAGCACAGAGAAGGACACTGTGAGTTAAAGATGTTCAAACGCCCACCAACGACAAAGGCCTCCTGTGCAGACTGAACAGCACAGACCCCCATCCCCGTGTCAGCCCGCAGGCATGGCGCATGTCACGCTTGTCTCCTTTGTCGCCTTCGGGAAGCTTGCCCGGCCCGGCCGGCCTCCTCCCTTCTTCACTGCTAATTCACTTCCTCCTCGCTGCCTTCCTTCAGTGTCTGCAGGATAACTCTGACATCAAGACGCTGAGGCCTTTCATGGCCGTGATGGCTATCCTCTGTGAATGTAAGGACCAGGCCAGCAAGACCTTCACCAGGTAAGAACTCTGGCCTGGGGCTCCTAAGTGACAACTCTGACGGGTTCGCGCTCTTAGCTTGTCAGGGTCAGCTCCCGCGTTGCAGGGCTGATCCCCGCCCTTCTTGGGTTCTAGGTTTGGGATTCAGCCGTGCCCCATTTGCCTGGGAGACACACAGGACCCTGTCTGCCTGCCCTGTGACCACATGTACTGCCGAGGCTGCATCCAAACCTGGCTCATCCCAGGGCAGATGAGATGCCCCTTCTGTTCGACTGACTTGCCAGACGACTTCTCGCTGACGGTTTCCCAAGAGCACAGGTAAACCTGTTCTCCTCAGAAAGCTGCCTCTTCCACAGTATTCAGAAGTACAAGCTCTGTTTCTACTGTCTCCTGGTAGTTGCCTCTGAGAGCTATCTTAAGAGGCTGTCTCTCATGTATACCTTCATAAACATCTGGTGTCTCGGAATTATTCTGTCCGAGACGTGTATCTGTGCAGATTAGGAGTTGGCAGAGTGGGAAGAAATGAACCAGAAAATTTTAAATTAAATAAAGCCATCATGAGAGACCCAATAATTTAGACACAATTGGGTTGTCCTTGTAAACTCGTCCCTGTGACGCATAAATGCCACTTGCGTTCTGTGGCCTGAAGGTAGACTGAGCTCCCGATGGCTAAATGCTTCGGCAGGAGGTGGTTAGATTAGCAGGAGCTCTGGGTTTACCAGTTGCCACCCTAGTCGGTAAAGGCTTGCTCTCCCTGCTTTTCTGCCTCCCTCTGGTGCCTCCTGGGAGTAGAACATAAGGCAAGCCTGGCAGACAGGCTCTTTGGCACACTTTTGGCATGTTACGTGTATTGCTGCCTGGTCCGATGAACAGAGTGTCCCTCAGAGGAGAGGTGCCTGAGCCGTGTCTGGCCGTCATGAAGACCAGCTCCAGCCACTGCAGGGAGCTACTTGTGTCTTCTCTTTTTCTTTTTTTTTTTTCATGCTTTGGATGACAGTTTACAGAACAAATTCATCTTCCATACAGCAGCTCACGTACACTGTCTCCTGACGTTGACTGCAGTTTCCCACAATGCAACGGCTCCCCTTCCACTTCCTCCCCATAGTTCCCTCTTCCCTGTGTCCTTCCCTCCATGCACTCCTGCCCCCTGAGCTGTCTCCCTGTGCACACACAGCCCTACTACTCTCCCATGATTGATCTCTCTAAGGAGTGTATCTACCTAATGTAAATGTTCAGCTCACATTCCTTTTTTTTTTTTTT